GTGTGTGTGGCGCGCGTGTACGCGATTATTACGAAAGCGAATTTCAGCGGGATGTGTGCGCCGGACGGGCACATCGTTTTTTTTTTTTCTTTTTTTCGACATCTCGCCAACTACAAATTTGGCCGCGACCGCGGCCGGAGTCATCGGCGGACAAAAGCGCGCCGCACCGAGGTTATTTCCTACGTCGCGGCTTGAATTTCGCGGATTATCTCGCGGGAGACGCAGCCCGTCGTTTGACTCTCGAGTGCGCGTCCACGCGTTTCCTCGTCGCCCGGAGGGGACCTAATTTCTATCCAGTCGTTCGCGCTGCGCTCCGAGCACCGCGATAACGATTGTGTATTAATTTTTTATCGCCTTACACGGACTTTTTCTGCGATTATCGCGATCATCATTGCGCAATTAGCGCGAGGACTACCTGGAAGACACCTTCGTCCAGTATCAGACTCCAACATTCTGTATTCCCTTGATACGCTTGCTCGTTGCTCTGCGGATGAGGCTTGACGAAGGCTTGCTGCACGTCGTTCATGTGTACTCTCTTCACTCGGAAAACGAACCAGACAGCGGGATACGTACCGATCTTCGTCGTGCGCCCGGACAACTCTTTACGGAGAACCAGCACCTTGCGACGAAAATGACACATCCGTTCGTCCACTCGCGCTACCCTCGCGTTACCCCCCTCCCCCCGTTACCGTTTATCGTCGCACTGCGTGTATCGATTCAACCGATTACCTTATTATCCCTCCGCAGCCGGGAAATCTGTCGCGCGCGCGCGCGCGCGTATTAGCCTACACCGCGAGTGTGTTATCTTCCGAAGCACGAGGCGAAGATTTGTGTACCCAACGTGGGCGGTCTCGCGCGGAGAGGCCGAAGAAGAAGGGTTCCGTGGTCCCCCGTTCAAATTGCTTCGAATCTCCTACAGGCGGACGCGATGCGCTCCGTACAGATAGTCATTGTGCCTAGGCGGCTTTATCACTCGCGTCGCGCGCAGTTTAATAATCTCAGACGCGATAGCGCACCCCGCGCGTATATCGTAGGATCAGCGTTCAGCGTAGCAGCCCCGGCTCGAGATGTCGGCTCGACGACGACTTAAGCCGCGTGCGAGTACGAAAGTCTATGCAAATGACGAATTTCACACGTGCGAGACACCGCGGTCTTCGAAGTCAGCGTTACAAGGCCGTGGGGGGCCGCGCGCGGAAGTCTCGTGTCCTCATTTCGCACAGCAGCAACCAGTTTTTCATCGACCATCGATCGACGAATCCACCCGTCGGTGATATCTACAATCGAGCAATCTCGACGGTGTCTCCTCGCGCTGCGGGCTTCGGCTCCCGGCACCTACTTCAGGAACCAGTTCTCAAGCGGAGGAACAGTCCAAACGCTCCATCGGCGCTCCTATCAGCACGCTCGAGTTCCTCCGAAAACGCGGAATCCGCGGATCCGCGGACGTTCGACACGCCGCGGGCCGCGATCTTCCTCTTCTGCTTCCTTCTGCTTTCCGTTTCTCTACCTCCGCGCTCGGCCAGCAGCGAGTCGAGTCGGCTTTTCCGCGAGATCCGCAAGGTTCACTTCCAGCCGCGCGTCGTCCGTGAGTGTCGACGCCGACGGCCAGGATCACAAACATCGCGATCGCGTCCACCGCGCTTCATGGTAGGGGCCTCTGCCACCTCTCCTATTGGCGGGGCTTTTCAGATGTATTCCTCCACGTGCACGCGAGTCCTACGAGCACCACACGTACGCGTTGCGTCACGTCCCGCGTCCGCCGGACTATCTATCTATCTGGGTAGGTCATTGTCACGATCGCACTCTTCTCCGACGACGTCGTGATTTCTCCACGGGGCGCGTCGTTATGACTCGGAATCCGAAGCCTGGTGAAACGTCGGCTTTCCATCTGAGGGCGATCCATCTGATGGCTTCGTCTGCGATGAACTGTCGCACAGTTCATAAGAACGTCAGCTTTGTTCTTTTTAGCTGAACCAGGCTGAACGCTTTTTTATCATTCGAGCGAAACAGGTATGCGACCTAGCGGCGAAAGGGAAAGGGACGAGGTAAGTTCCAGGTCCGGCTGAAAAGAACCCGCCTCTCGTGAGTTGAGCAGCAATCACGCCGCGCACGAATCCTGACAGTGCCGCTGACGGCTCCGCGGACGGCTCCGCTCCGACGCGAAGCTTCATCGTTTGCCGTTACATAATTGTATAAAGTATATACACAAATATAATATTCAACTACATTGCGAGACAATCGTATCCTATCCATGCATCATTCTGATTCTGAAAGACGAAGGCGAACTAGTTTTTTCTCTCTCTCTCTCTCTCTCTCTCTCTCTCTCTCTCTCTCTCTCTCTCTCTCTCTCTCTCTCTCTCTCTGTCGTACCTGTTGTCTCCTTGTTGTTCAAGTATCCGACACCTATATGAAGATAGCGAGGTAATTATCGCATCGCATAATATATAGAACTACAATATCGAATGTTTATATAAGCGGCGATATGTTTAACTGTAACCGCATAAACGGTCGCTTGATATAATAATTACACACATGTGTATGGTCGTAACTATTTTTCCGCGAAGGATCGGTAACATGTTATTTATTGAGACGTTAATCACAACAGCTCAACGATTGTGACATCATGCGGGAAAACAAAAAAAGGATAGATAATGCACTTCCACGTGAATGAATTACTGTCGCTCGTACGACGCGTGAAATGTGTTCGTTAAGTGCGTTCGATGTATCTCCGACGTCTCTGGCATACCTTGGCATAATTTCGTTATCCAAATACTTTGCGCGTGTGTCTGCGCGTGAGTGACTAAAGTGAGTATGGCGGTTCTTACGATTACACATCACACCCACGAAAAATGTTGTCGAGGATCGTGTCCATCGCTATAAACGAATGCTGCCGTTCGCGCTGCGGCGCCCGCTAGGTCGTCGAGTTATCGTCTGATAAAATTTGATTTACACTTTATAAAACGCTCGTGGAACAGAACGGGCGGCACCAAGCGCATACGCGCGCAGCTTTCTAATAGGCGCAATCTGTTCGGCTGTAGAACTTGTTCTGCGTGTGCCATAAAATTCTACAACGCTGTAAAGTTATAACGAGCAGGTGAGAGCAGGCTTAATCTCCAAACACAGGAGTAGTGTGTCTCTCCTGTATAATCGGGGACGCTGGAAATCATTATAAGGCTGAGAGAAAGAGAAACGAGGACGAAAGTAAATAAAGTTTTCGTGGAGAAACACGAGGGAGGGAGGGAGGAAGGAGGATCGAAAAATTCGACTGTTCGAACCGTCGACGAACCTGCCGTCGCGTCAAGTTCGCGCGAATAACGTACGTGTGAACACCGCAATCGATGTCAAAGGTGGTAAATCACGCACTGACTATCCTGCGGAGGAATCACGGCGGTTAAGCTGCGCAAGCACAAAGCAAGTGCAACAAGCGGCAATTACAATCAGCGAGCCGGCCTTTGGCGAACTGCAAAGATTGCAAATCTACCGCCGGACACCGGCTACGATCTACGCCGGTAGTTGCAGCGGCCTCTTAAAACCGCAAACACAGTAATAGTCATCTGCAACTGCCGCGTTTAGATTGCTAGATAGCGAAACCCGTGTAAGGGTCAGCGTGCCCGTGTAAGGGATTCGACTAATGCGCGCTCGAATCGTCATCGTGAAACTTCGCGAAATGCCTACACGGATACTTTGTATCGATTAGTTTCCAATTGCCGATTGTCCAATGCGGGAATTATATACACAACATCTCGCGTCATTAAATTGCAAATCGAGACGTCCTCGCGAGACATTGATAAGTCTGATCGAAAAAAAAGGCACGCGGAGACGAGGAGCTATTTTAAGAATAAAACATTCCAAAGTTCTCTCCTCATGAAATGACACACATGAAACGGCACGAAATGATACATGTGTGTGTATTTCTTTCTTCTCAAAACTACCGATTCTACCGATGCATTTTCCTCTCAGCGATTCTTTTCTCTCCGCAGGCGATTTGATACATTAATAATCAATGAAAAAGAGACCGAGATTCGGACGGATCATGCGGTTGAAAAGCGCGAATTACCGGGGCGGTTCATTTTTTAACGCGCTACCTGCGCGTCCACCCGAGTCGTCACATTAAAACGCGATTACGACGTGTAATTGTCGGACCCGCGAGACGGAGGAAGGGAAGGAGGGAGGGAGGGAGAGGGTAGCGCAGGTATGGAGCCGGCATCGGTATTTTCGCGGTCGACGCTGTAAATAAAGAGTGTCCCGTTTATGGACCGTAAACGCCGCTCTAACTGCGCGGCTTTGCGCGCCGTTCTTATCTCCTCCCGACGTTTGTTTCCTACTTCGTATATCACCGCGCAGTCCCCTCGCGGTATCACCGCGCCATTCCGAAGCTCTCATTAACGGAATGTCGAAAAATCGCGAATGCCGCAGTCGCGCGGCTCTTAGAGAGAGAGAGAGAGAGAGAGAGGGAGAGAGAGAGAGAGAGAGAGAGAGAGAGAGAGAGAGAGAGAGAGAGAGAGAGAGAGAGAGAGAGCCTCTCTCTCAGAATTGCTACAGCCGCGTATATCGCGAAGCAGCGCTTAAGATACAGCGGGGCAAGCCAATTTAGCTATACGCGTTATCGAAAGTCAGATAATTTCTCCGATAACCGCTGATCACGTATGGGAGTATGTTCTGCTTGGAGTTGGAAGTGAAAAAGAAAGACGTTGTTTACACAATGGCCGACACGCGTGTGTCGAGACCATGTGTCGGGACGACGTCGAAATGTTATTAGAAAAATGATACAATCCCTGCGGCGCTCTTTATTTACTTAAACGACAAGTGTTTTTTACTTTTATATATATATATATATATATGTATATAAAATTGTGTATTTGTACATAAATCATTACAATGTCACTACCACGGGTAACATCGTGCGCACGTGAGCGGTAACGAGAAAGGTAGCGCGGCGTGTGTGTGTGTGTGTGTGTGTGTGTATACTGATCTACAGGCAATGAAATCAGAGTCGGACGTACCTGGAAGGAGCGGTGGTGAGGATGATGGGGATGATGAAACTGCGGTGTGTGAATCATGTCGCCGGTCTCGGGATCCTCGCACCTGGATGACTTCGCGACCTCGGCGTTACTCGACTCGGAGATGGCCGCGCTGCCCTTTGCACTCGCGGAGTCCTCGGAGGTGTCCTCTTTCTTTTTCTTCTTCACTTCCGGTTTCGTCTCCTAATAATCATACTTTATAAAATAACGGCGAGACGGTTGCACAATCGCGCCAAGCAAGGTCGACGCGCTGATTACGCGAAATGAAAATATTCTAGCGCTCAACATATTAATATTTTCTCGTCGAGGACAGATTGGTCGTGTATCGAGTTATGTTAATGAAGAGTTATTATGCTCCATGCGCAATTAAAAATAATTAAAGCAACAGTCATATCTTCATGCTGAAATTATAGTTGCTCGTGATTCTGCACCGGTTTCACACGCTTTTGTAGGCATCGAGTAACACGGACCGATCGCATAATTAGTATTCGTCGCGAGAGTCTCGCGCAGTCGACGAGACGGAAAAAATACGAATAGAACTTGGCGAGAGCGGTCGCGATCAATCGCGTGTGATCCGCGGCCGCGGAGGAGAGAAGGACGAATGCACGTGTTATTATGTATACTTTTCTGAATACGTTCGAAATGCAATCGCTCGCACGTGATAAATACCTCGCAAGCCTCTGGTTGAGTCTCATCGAGGCCGACGAGCTGGAGCGCCTCCTCGAGATTAAATTCGTCGGGCAAGCCCAGCGTATCGTTGCTGAGGAGACCCTCTACGCCGGCGCTTCCTAAGAGACTACCTCCGAGAAGCTCCGAGGTAAAGTCATGCCCGAGTCCCAGAGTGTCATTTAGCACCAGCGAATCATCAGTCAGGCCAGTCAACGGGTGATTGTCCAAACCCAACGATGCTTCGTTGAGAAGCGGACTGTCCTCTCCGATGCTGCTTCCGCTTCCGTTTTGACCGCTGGAGCTGAGAATGTATTCACCTGCAAAGGTACACAGATGTTTGCCGAATGTTCTCGATCGGTCCCGCCGATAGACTTAGCTTAGCTTAGCTCGGCTTAACTTGACTCTTTTAACTCTTTCGCCGAAAGGAGGGCAGAAGAAAGAAAAGCGACAAAGGAGAGAAAGACGCGTACCCGACGACGTGTAATACGACTTGTCGCGAGGAGGAGCTCTTGCTGGTAACGACAGGTGATGAAACATAAGCGAGCGTAAACAAGTTCGCGTGCGGTCGTAAGGTTCACGCAGAGATCACTCGGGAATATTTAATTAGTCGCCTGATTACATAGTACCAACATACAGGAATATTTCTCATCCGTCCTATTGTGCAACTTTATTCCGACACGTCATCGGCAACTATTATTACACATATCCTCACACACGCATTCCCCAATATTCAGCCGGCGGAATAATCGTTGAGAGGAATTAATATTCTCTCTCTCTCTCTCTCTCTCTCTCCCCCTCCCTCCCTCTCTCTCTCTCTCTCTCTCTCTCTCTCTCTCCCTCTCTCTCTCTCTCTCTCCCTCTCTCTCTCTCTCCCTCTCTCTCTCTCTCTCTCGTCCGTACGCTCGCACATTTCTGTATCGGTGACGGTTAGTAAACACATGCGTGTAACCTCTCGTTGATTCGCGATAAATGTTGTTCGCGCGAGTACTATGTACTCGTATTAGCTTTGGACATTGATTATCAAGTGTTACGAAATGTCGTTCACTGATTACGATTAAAATTCGACGATTCACATGAACGTATTCTAATTAAAGTTCAACGAATAACTGCTTGATCCACTCATGTCTAATCATTTTCAACAATGCAGATGCGCCGGAGTAACTGAATTTCAGTTCGGGGAAACCGCGTCGCAACGTGTCATGCTTGGAAATTCAATGCCATCGGTTAAGTATTTATTTCCCGCGTCAGTGAGATACACGGTCTCAGTCTTGGAAGCATTCAAAGCGAAGCAAATTATTTTACATAATACTTGGATATTGTACTCGGCCGTGTATTTTGCCGCAAATTATCTTCGCGACCGACATTCCACAGTTGTTTACTTGTACACCGGTCGCAATCAGCCGATATAAATCAATGCGCACGATAACGAGCTCAACACACAGGAAAATTATTTTTCTTTTGCTTGATTTGTATCGAGAGCGCTGTAATTTTTACCAACATGCTTGCAACGTGACGAAACTGTTTTTATGTTTTTCAATGCGCCGGTCATGTTTTGACTAGAGACGATTAGCACTCAAATTTTAACCGCTCGTAGTTTGTTGTACGCACGACAGTTGTAAAAAGGTAAGATAAATTTTCCAGCAAAAGCTTGGAATTTGTGACTCGACGTGGAACGAGACACGACGCTAGTAGCCGGCGACGGAGAGGTCGAAATTTTCAATGAAACGAAAGAACGCAACTAATTGTGAGTGTAATTAAAGGGGTGTTGTTGAAGATCTATCCGCTGGTTTGAGCCACCCTCGAATGTGCCCGCCCTTCGGCCAATCGCACAACCCCGTCTGCCTCTTCCCTATTTTCATCCCTTTCGTGAACACATGAACGATGACACGAACGAGTTCGTTCGAATCGTTCACGTTTTCCAGAATAGGCAACGAGTAACTAGCACAATATAGCTCTCGTGCTTTTGCAACGGACAGGCAATGTTTCTACGGTAGAGCAATAAAAGTTTCACGTCGAAAAGAACCGTGGGTTGAAGAATACAAATCGGAGCGCAGAGTAATTTCGCGCGTTGCGTCGTGTTATTACCCTGTCAATCATAAATCATTAGAGAAATCGAAACGTCTCTCAAGCACTAATCGAGATGTCGAACTCGAACATTGTCCATCGCGATCGTTATATGCATTATTGTGTAGCAAACTTGGAACATTATAAACGCGAGTGAATGTAACAACGGCTCGATGGCTTAACATGTGGTAATCGATGTTCACACATACACACACACACACACACACACACATAAATTTTAGTATTTTAATAATAATCATACACCTCTTGAGGAAAGCTTGCTGCACTCGCGAAAATTGTCAAGCCGCGCGGCGTTTTATTCAGCGCCGAATAACGACGATAAATTTCGCGCAAACTTCACGTGCCGCACTCTCATATTTATAGCGCTAATTTGCCGCACAATGTCCGGTATTTCGCGTGTTGCCAGGCTGTCGGCCCTAAAAGGGCTTCTAGAATTTCTCTACCTGGACTTTTGACAAAACGTCGATAACATCGAGCAGCTCGAGCTCACGACTTCCACGTGTGAACGTCTCTGTCGAGTACAAAAGCATACTCCTTTTTCTCCCCGCGGTTGAGCGCGATGTTATTAGAGATAATAATCTCATAAAATAATAATTCCTCGGGGGCAGGGCGCGCGCCTGGAAGCCGAGCAGGTCCGCCCGCTGACGAAACGCCGACGGACAGGTCGGCCGAAGAAGAGGAGGATTTTCGTCCTGCGCAGCTTCTACCCGCCGGAATGCCGGTGTGCTGCTTCGAAGGAACAGAGAGAGAGAGAGAGAGAGAGAGAGAGAGAGAGAGAGAGAGAGAGAGAGAGAGAGAGAGAGATAAAGGGGGGAGGGAGAGGGAGAGATCGCGCCTTTCGGATGCCTATTACATTAACGAGTGGTGGCGGCCATTGTCTGGCCCAAATGCGAGGCCGACCGCGCGATAATGGCCGCCTGTAATTTGAGGGTAGTCGGAACAGCCCCTGCCTATACGACGTAAAGCCTATTTAAAGGCCGGCGGAATTACGAGGAGAAATTACTTTCAGCCGTGCGCACGTAATTGGTGCAAGAATAATTTTTAGCCGGTGCGGCGTAATTTTTTGCGGCCTTTATTATCGCGCCTGTCCCTGCTCGCCTCTTTTACGTTTGCGCGGGAATTTACATAATGTGATTTCTTCCGAGTTTTTCTCGTCACAATGGAAATTTGTTGTATGAACATCTTGGCGATAATAAAGTGCCGGCGGTAACGTCTTTGTTCGTACTTCTTTCTTCCTCGACCGAAGGAAAAGAAGCGATCTCTGTCGAAGACGAATGTTAAAAGATTCCAAATGTTCGGCTAGAAAGTTCCATGTTTTAGTCTTTCTTCAACGGCAGAGCGGCTGCTTTTTACAAAAGAGGTAAGCAAACGCTGCCGGGACTTTAATAAAAGGCCGCAGACAACGATGATGTTTGATAAATGATTCGTCGCTTTTGAATACAGTGAAATTTGAAACTCGAGACAAATATTTTAACCGATTCAGTGTGCACGTTAAAATAGTTTTTTGTAGAATGATGAACGGTCGCATGGGATACATCAATTCTCGCCTTCTTCAACAGCAGTTAAGCAACATTGACTACCTGGACGAGTGTGACTGCGAGTTGGTGTAATTCCCGTAGAGTAGAATCGACAAATAAACGAAACTGGTTGAAACGAATACGCGTCTCCTTCACGTGTAAAATTAAAACCGAGAAATCTGCATAAGCAAGGGATAAAAATGTCAAGTGTTCCTCGTAAAATTTCCATTGATTTAATCGACAACGCGCGCGATCGTAAAATATCTATCTTCCGAGACTGGACGTTGCTTCGGATCGCTTTCAAAAATTAACTCAACGACACATCGCAGAATTTGCATTTGCTTTTCCAATAAACGCAATAAAGACAGGTGAATACACGGCAGGTTGTTCCGAAGCCGTCTCGCTAAGCCGCGACAAGTTGAAGGTTCGTTCATGACCGAATCACGTACGTTCTAATGATCGCGCGCGATCGGCGTTTCGGCGAGTAAATAAGGAAGCCGTGGCCTTTCCTTCGCGTCTTCGCGGAAGTTTCGCTGTCGAAATGGATTTTCTCTCGGCCCGAGAGGCCGTCGCGCGGAATTCGCCCGATCACGCTGCATCTAATGGCGTGGCCCTTCGGCTTTTTCAATTCCACGGCGTCTTTGAACCCGGCGTTCGGCTTTTTCCACGGCCACCGGAACGTCGACAGATCATTTCTCATATTTCGCGCGCATGCTTAACGATCATTTTCTTCCATCCCCCGTGCCCCGTCCCTTTTCTTTCCCATCGTCCCGACGCCGCGTTGGATAATAATTCTTGCATTACTCGACAAAATTTTCGGTGTCGACGGTCCTCCTCCGTACCAGGAACCAGGAGAGCGCGCCGTGTTCGGCCGCTCTCTCCTCCTCTTTCCCTCTCTTTCTCTCTCTTTCTGTCCCTTCCCTACCCCCCCCTCTCTCTCTCTCTCTCTCTCTCTCTCTCTCTCGTTCTCTCTAACTCTATTCGCTCGCAGACGGCACATCCGACACGAAGTCGGAAGGAATTCTCGTGCCTGAATGCACCGGCACGATTGTCCTATTCCCGGATGACAGATATATACGTGTATATAAACCCGACAAATCTCTCATTCGCACACCCCTCGAGGAAGGGTGACGCTCGCGGTCCGGCCGGTGGCCGACGCTAACTCTGGAACGGAGCTTGACGTCTCATTTGGAGCTGAAGAAACGCGCACCGCGCGCGTCACCTGCCGAGCACGATAAATCGTAATTGCGACCATCAATCCTGCCGCTGATCGACGTCGAACTGTCGGCCGTTTCGTCGAGTCTTGTTTCGCCGGACGAGTGCGAGAGCCGCCGGTCGATTGGACGGGCTGTTGACGTGCGTCCCCGATGTGTCTCACGCTTATCTCGTATCCTGTGTCTCTTAAAATCCTGTGTCTCCGCTGCCGCGATCTGCTTAACTGAACACGGGAGTTCGTTGACTATTCAACGCGTTTCGCGTTTGAATCTTAACGGAGGGAGGGATAATCAAGTGTCGGCACATCCGTTTCTCTTGAGGAATTTCCGATGGAGCCAAAGGTAAGATTCCTATCACCACGCGGATGTAATATAAGATCTTCCCTTTGCTATTTGTCGAGTCGCAAGAGTGAACCACGCGTGAATCGATTAGCCGCGTGGGTCGAAAACAGGGATACTCTATTCGGAGATGATCCTTCGAGGCTTCGGTCGCCGAAACCT